AACCAGACACCAGATACTCAAACTCACAAAGTTCATCCAACAGCGACATAAAATTGACCTTTGAATATCTTTGAATATGAGCTTGCTTTGAAGGGGTCCGTGGCCGGGGTTGAGAGGTGACATGAAAGCCCAACAGTCTAGCCCGATTTGTTGCCGTGGGTGTTAGCCAGACTTTCGGAATTGCCCTGGATTTGTGTGGGCATTGAGTCTCTCTCACTCCTCCGCCTCGATGGAATTTGCAGCTTCCGCCAGGGACAAGGGTGCTGGAGGAGTGACGCCTCCGCCAGCCGACCTCTTTCCAGCCGAGATCGTTGACATGGGAATCTTGGGTTTTGGTGGAAGAAATGGCTGACAGCGTGGGATGAAAGATATGAGCTACTGTAAGTTTATGGTTTGATGCTTGTTTTTGGAAAGCTTCGGTAAGCTCCTAAGCTTCCTTCTTGCTCAGCAGATCTGGGTCTCATTGTTGCCCACATGGCTGTCCCGACTCTCCGGTCTTCGACCCCCTGGATGTCAGTTGAGGAAACTATGCCGTTGTCATCAAGTGGAGCGACGGAGTGGTACAAGTGCCCTGGAGCAACACTGAACTTCCTACCCTATTAATTACTCTGCCAGGCAGAACCAAAACATGCCTTGTGATCCTCCTATCCACTTAGGTGGCACCTCACAAGCAGCTCATCGAGGGAGATGAGAAGGGCCCGATGCCACATGTAGAGCTGACACCTGCCTGATCCTGCCTGAGTTGGCCTTTTTCCAGGACTAGAGGTGGTTTTCACTGAGTCTAGAATCTAAATAAGATTCAATAAGCCACAGTCCACAGTATCTCAGAACCAATGCCACCTCCATGCACCGATGCACCGATACTCCACGCTGCGAGGAGTCGAACCAGAATTCTTTGATGTTTTGATTCTTGTTGGGAGCACTCCCTCAAGTGTCAGCACTGCTCGAATTTCAGACCTCTTGGGCTATTTCAATAGCACGTCATGGAATCCGATACTCCTAGTTTGGGATCGACCTGGGGAGTGCGATTCTTCACGTGGAGTGCTGACCCAGCAGACACTTGGCTTCCGCAGCCAGAAGCGGACACGAGAAGAAAAGGACATTTGGATGCGTGTGTAGATCTAAAGGGGGCCATGCGGCATTGGGGGTTGAAGTTATGCAGTCAGCACGAAAACTACGTACCTAACATTCACGCTGCAATGTTGTGTTGAGTGTGAACGTTCTTTCATCTTCAACAAGAAAGTGCTTACCTGCGTTTTGGAGCGTTTGAACGCAGTCTCTCCATGTCTCCCCTTTGAATTCCTTGGTTTCATTTGGACACATGCATTTTGATCATGTTGTTTAAGATCCATCACTGGAAACTATATGCACAATTTTTGTTTGGGGCTCTCAAGTGTCAAGAGGCAGTTTGCAATTTTCACCACAGCGCAACTTGAAAATACTAGTGGCTGACATGTGGCCACCTTCAACAAATGCAAGAACTATAACTAAGCACTTAGTTTCATCTTGCCTGGTCCAACAGAGTTCATGTCACAACAAACCTTTATACCACTGTGTTCTCACCTCCAATATCATCACAAACACTTGAACAATTGAGGCCTTACACCTCCCCTGGAAGTCAACGTGTCCATACAATCTTACCTCTCGACTTAATTTGAACGCATTGTGTCGGGCGCTTGATGAGATGCGAATCAAGGTGTTGGATGTTGAGACCCACTTGCGAATCAGTCGGTTATACAATATATAGCAATGTGAAGGTTTCTTGCCCAAACCTGACCGCTCCCACCCTCCCAAACTCCAATGACTCAATGACATTCGATTGGGCAACTGTGTGTGTGTGTGTGGTGCCTTGTACATGAGAACAATACACACACACACTCACATATATATATACATATATCTGTGTGTGTGTGTATGCATGTCCAGATGGAAAAACCATGATTTTTTGAGAGAGGTGCGGTGAAAAGGAATGAGGCCATGGTCAAACGACACAAAGTGATGCATGTTACATTGAAATTAAAGTGCTGACTTTGATGACGGATGCAACATGGGAAGGAAACTTGGTGATGTGTTGAAAGTGCCGACTACAAACGCGCGGCGGTCTTAGGCAAAAACTCCGAGGCGGGCCACAGATAAACAGGTCCTGCAGAAACTAGGTGAACACTTATATATAAGGGCATTCGATCATTGGATGATGGGAGACAAGCTATCTACTCTAATTACTCTCAGCCCACTGTATGATCAACCTGGCAAAACTTTTGCGAGATCAAATGACGTCGTCGGCTGAAATTGTAGCCAAACTTGAAAGGGTTGTTCCTCACCAAGTGTTGATGCTATGTTTAGGCAGTTCCAGGGTCCAAATGCAAACAGACCTGTTCAATAATCCCTGCAACACTGATCTGGAGTCCGAATCTGGAGGGTGTGGGTATATAGTGGTGTGGGTGAGGCAAACTCGAACTTGGCAGTGACTGACCCACTTGGCTAAGATGTAACAACACTGAGGATGCTTTAGTTTAAAATCATATTGAGAATGAATTGGTCGGTCGGTCGGTCGGTCTGTGGGACCTTCCTATGTGTTTGTTATCACTTTGAAGCGTCCGTCGCTTTGTGGATTCCAAGATGAAACTCTACCGGCTTTGGTTGCCTTCTGGAGGCATTGATATGAGGACGGGAAGGAGAAGTGGGTGAAGGCAGGTCGGCGGACCCACCTCACACCCCAAAATATTGCCCATGGCTGGCTTGGCAGGAACACTGTCACTATTGTTCAACTAGTCGCCGGGACTTGCGCTGTGCGTTTGAGTCAACAAAAAGACAGCGATTCAACTTACTGTAAAATTCCTGAAGTGCCCGTGTCGCCTCTCACCGTGCATTGTTTCATAGTGTGTCCACGGCCTTCGAGCTGGTGCTCCGGCTCTCCGAAAGGCTCCAGCTCTCCGAAATGGCGTAGACGGGCGTGGCAGCGCTGCAGCTGTTGGAAGATATGAGTCAACGATGGGCCATTCCATGCTCAGTCGGACTCTTGGATTAAGGCGACTGCGTTCTCTTGAATAACTTGTTGGGGTGGCACCTAAGCTCAAACTTGGTCCCAGCTAGGAGCGATTGATAGTTTGAACTCAATGCGCAGAGTGTGATCAGAGACTGTAAGGGGCACTTCAAGGTCCTGGAGTCTCGATTTGCATTCTCCAAGGATTGTCAGACGGCTCTCAGCACACGGTGCCTGGTCGGCAGATGTCGGCAGTATCATTGTCCGACAGGTGCATCCCAAAGATGGGGCGACTTGAAAGTCGTTGCGCCTTGAAGACTTGGAGTCTATCAATTTGGGCTATTTGGGCTCCCATTCAGGTAGCTAAGGTGCTATATAATTGGATTGCTTGGGTTTCTAGGTCACATCCCCAAAGTAGTTCGGCCACATACAAGTAGTTCCCGGGCAAGCCGGCGGCGGAAGTTTCCTATAAGAACAAATTGACCTATAGGAGTGTCCCGGTTCTTTCCACCATGCGTGTCCCTCGTGTCCCTCAGTCAGACGCATGAGTGATGAGTGATGAGTGAAGTATAGCTCTAGCTCCACTAAAGCTAACTGGAGTTAGACGTTAACTATGATGTGATAGTTGGCCTAGACACGAAGCAAATTAGCTCAAATTTGTCAACCTCTCAAAACACATGTTTTGAGGTCTCCAGAAAATAATCGAAGTGACCACTTTTGAGTAAGCAAAGTAGCTAAAATTTGTCGACCTCTCAAGAGAGCCGGGTGGTCGGGAGACATGGCTCAGCCGCAGGGGCGCCAGAGCAGCCGCGAGAGATGACTCAGCCGCGCACTAAAGTTGTACTACAAAGTCGCCAGTTCTCAGCTTCCAGCTCCCCAGATTCCTCCGCGTACTAAAGTTGTACTACAAAGTCGCCAGTTCTCATCTTCCAGCTCCCCAGATACTCCGCGTACTAAAGTTGTACTACAAAGTC